GAGGGCCAGCAGGAGGGCCAAGAGGGATCTGCCACGCCCTGGGGCCGCACCTTCTCAGCTCCACACGGTTCACTGAGGAGCTCACCCCCCCCCCCACATCCTGGCACCCTGAGAAGACCCTGCTCCTGCGCCGTGGTCACTCGAGGTCCGAGCCGGAGCCCCCACCTGCATGCGCTCGTGCCAGACTCAGGGCAAGAGGAGGTGGCCGTGAGGCAGGGTGACTGGCGCCTGGGGCTTTGTCTGGGGCTGGGCCCAGAGGAGCCTGTGGGCACTCGCTGTGTCCTGCCCCGCCCTGCCCGGCCTTGATGGCTTCACGGGACCCAGGTTTGGCTGCCCGGTGACATTTGCTGTGTCCCCATACGGCTGATTCGGACGCAGCTGCAGCACATCACACGCTCTTGTTCCCAGGGCACTGGGCACAGCTGTCGCGAGTGGGCAGAAGCCCGGCGGGAAGCGGAGGCCGCCCCCGCCCACCCACACAGGGCCACCGCCTGACGCCACCCCAGGAAAGCAGGGTGGTGGGGATGTGGCCCCAGCCAGGCCAGGAGCTCAGCCCCGGGTCAGGGGCTTGGACAGGACGCGGCGTTGGGGACACCTGCCTGCCGACGGCACGGCTGCTGACCCTCCTGACCCTTCGTCTGGAGCAGCCGAGGCTTCGGCCCTGCCCCCACCACAGGGTCGCCCGACTGCACGGGAATGGCGCCGGCTGCTTCCAGGGTCAGTGGTCGTAGGGGTCAGCTCACCATAGCCTCCTCAGCACGACCAAGGACGCCCCCGCTGGCCGCTTCCTGGCTGGGTGGACCAGTCCCAGGGCCCCCAGCACCGTAATGCCAGCAGGTGGCCTGGGCCAGCCGCGGCCGAGGCCACCGGTGTCCTGCGTGCGCACGAGGCCCCTGCCAGCCAGCTCCAGGCAGAACCTGGCCCCGGAAGCCCCCAAGCTGGGAGCCAGTGTCCGTCGGCCCTGGCCGGTCACCAACCTCAGTGCAACAGGGCCGCGTCTAAGACCACTGAGCACAGGCTTGTCCAAAAAATACGTCTTTTTATTGTCCTGATGCAAACATGTTTCAGAAACTGCACTGTGGTGCCGGTGGGGCTGGCGGGCAGCCTGCGCCGAGGCCAGCGGCCGTGGCGGGAGTGGATCTGCCCCGGGGCAGCCGCGATGGGGCAGGAGGACACGGCCGGGGTGGG